CGACCCCTGCGACCATGGTATGTACGCCAGTGCATGCAGATACACATACACTTTAAGGACCACTACAGACACCCAGATCACATCAGCTCAATTAAGTGATCTGGGTGCCAGGTCCCTCTAGTTTTAACCCTGCAGCTGAAAACATAGCAGTTTCAGAGAAACTTCTATGTTTCACTGAGGGTTAATCCAGCCTCTAGTGGCTGTCTCATTGAGTAATGTTTTCTTATGGGCGGCTTGAATGCGCGCGCGTCTCTTGCCGCGCATGCGCATTCGGAGCTGAGAGGCGGATCGGGGCGGAGAGATCCCCAGCACCAAGGGAGTCCGGCGCTGGAGAAAGGTAAGTGCTGAAGACACACATACACACTTTCATGAACAGACGCATACACACTAGCTAACAGACACACACACACTCTCACGAACAGACGCATACACAATAGCTAACAGACACACACTCAGTGACAGACATACATACACACTCAATGACAGACAGACATACACACTCACAAAACACACACTCACTAACAGACACCAAACAGACTCACTAACAGACACACACAGTAACACACTAACACACACACACACTCTAACACACACACACACTCTAATACTAACACACACACACTCTAACACACAGTAACACACACACTAACACACACACAAACACACACTAACACTAACACACACTCTAACACTAACACACACTCTAACACTAACACACACACTCTAATACTAACACACACACACTCTCTAACACACACACACTCTAACACTAACACACACACACACACTCTAACACACACTCTAACACTAACACACACTAACACACACACAAACACACACACACTAACACACACACTCTAACACATACACACTGTTTTTTTAAATTAATCCCCCAGCCTCCCTACCTTTGGGAGTGCTGAGGGGATTCCCTGGGGTCCAGTGGTGTCACCCGGTGGGCAGGCTGGTGGGCGCGCGAGGGAGCACTCTCCCCTGAGTGCTCCCTGTTCAGCTCCCTCTCGCGCCGCATACTGATGCCGGAGCCGCAAGATGACGTCATCTTCCGGCTCCATTATCAGTGCAGTGCGCGAGTGAGCTGGGCAGAAAGCACTCAGGGGAGAGTGCTCCCTCGCGTGCCCGCCAGCCTGCCCATCGGGTGACACCAGGGCCAGCCTCGGGGGGCCCTGAGGTGGCCGGCTCGTGGACCCCCCAGGAGAGGAGGCTGGCCACAGTGGGTAAATACCGGGTGGCAGGGCGGCCGGGCCCCCTGTTGGGCTGATTAAACAGCCATAAAATGTAGGTGTGAGACCTAAGGCATTAATCTACCAGTCAATCAAAGCAAACTGGCACATACATAGTGCTCATTATTTAAATACATTAAATGAGTTATGATATTGTTGTGCAATCAAAAGGGGTATGTAGCAGCCCCTTTGGCATTGAGTAAATAACGAGAGGAGAGTTTCTGACGGGTGCAGTACTTTAATTCTTTTACATCAAATGTGTGAAGAACAAACTACATAAATCTTAGTTCAATCTATAGAATGCTCAAAAAACTAAACACTGAGCCTATGTATCTACAATGAAAGTGGCGTTGAGACAACAATACAGAACAACAGTATTGAAAATGGAAAAAAACAAGCTAAGGGTGTGACAGGGCAGGGACCAGAAAGCAAAGGTCAGATAAGGTAAATAATGAGATTCAACATGTAGAGCACATCTAAGGTACAGGATGAAGTGAAGAAGTAGTTGTCAAGTTGTCAGCTTGGGAGTCAGTGGTGGGATCAGTCAAGTATCGTATGGGTCCAGTTCTAGAAAACTGCCCCCAAAAATTGGCATTTAGAAAAGAGATGGATGTTGATGGTATAATACTGATGGTCTCTGAGAGACAAAGAAAGCTGCTTCTGTAAGCATATGCTTTATATAAACTGAACAAATAACAAGAATCATATAGTGTCACAGGAACAAGAATTCCCACACTCCTCACAGCCTAGGAAATGGTGTGGGTTTTCTGAATTGTGTTTCTTATGTTATATACTGCATTTTTATCTGAATTTCTTCGTTTTCTTAAAAGCACTGTGAAATATTATATTTAGACAAAACACTAAAACAATAATTTCTTTGATTGTGCTCTAAACGAAATCATATTTTTTGGAGAAATATTTTTTAGCACATTACTTTTCACTACATTGCTTGATTTATAATGTATAACTTAAAGGGACACTGTAGGCACCCAGGTGGTCTGGGTGCTGTGACCCTTTTGCACTTAGTGCTGCAATGTAAAACATTGCAATTCCAGAGAACTCATTCTGTGGCTATCTTACAGACAGCCACTAGAGGACTTCTGGAATCCTAACGGACCTTTGGTCCATTATCTGACGCTGGACGTCCTCACGGACCTCAAGCATCAGATTTTCCCCATAGGAAAGCATTGGATAATCCTATGGGGAGGTCTAATGTGAACACGGAGGTGATGCCTGATCCAGCGCCAAGGGACATCGGCGCTGGATTCAAGTAAGTG